AACCATATTTTCATGTTTTTTGTAATTTACTCTAAAACGGTATGAAAATTTTGAAAAGTGTAAACGGTATTAACCATTTTAGAAGAAGGAAACATTTTTATTAAGAATGTATATTTCTCAAAATATCAATAATAAAAAAGTTTTTCCTCTTGTAAAGACAATCCGGGGACATACTGTAGAGTACACATTTTGACATTTATTAAAAATTAAGAAAATAACGTTAAATAATAAATCCAAGTTTTCCAGCGATGCGATGGCGTCATTCCGAAAATTCATTTCGGAAATTCGACCGCTCGTCCCGGCTCTTCTCCATTAATGGAAAGCTAAAGGGTTGGAAATCATGGAAAGGGCTTTCCATTTATCATTCGTCCATTGTGCTGCGTCATGGACGCTGCGGTTACACCAATTAGAGGGCGCCCTGATCGCCTAATTAATTGAGATTTAAGGCTTGAATTAATTTCGGTTCCGGATTCAATGCGGTATATAGGAAACTATTTTACCAGTTTTTAGTTTTAGGGCTTTAGGGATTGTTTTTATTATATTTTTAATCAGTTGCGTTATGTGTAACTATATTATTTTTGATTTTCAAGTTAGTAAAAACAGTAAATTTTTATTTGTACAGGGTGTCCCATTTTCGGATGTTTTTGGAGTTTTTCGTTTATGAATAGTGATACAAAGATACGGATTTGTATTAACATATTTGTCCCAGGCTCTTAGTTCCTAAAATACAGTGTGAGTTAGTATTACAATTGAGGGTTGGAATCTTCCCATACAGCCACGGTACGTACTATGTACGTACCTGGTACGTAATGTTGTTATGAACGTCAGGTCCCTGGTACGTACATTTTCCAACGCTATGTACTTCGCCGGTACGTCCCTGGGATGTGGTAAAGTACGTACTATGTACGTCGCATGTACATAGGTATGTACGTTCTAGGTACGTACATTTTATGTTTTGTTCCGGACCAAAACTGGATGTAAAATGATCGAAAGTACGTACAATGTACGTACTATGGACGTACATTTTTCAACGCTTTGTACGTCCCCGGTACGTCCCTAGGATGTGGTAAAGTACGTACTATGTACGTCGCATATACGTACATTCCAGGTACGTATATTTTATGTTTTGTTCCGGACCAAAACTGGATGTGAAATGATCGAAAGTACGTACAAGGTACGTACTATGGACATACAATGTACGTACTATGGACGTACATTTTTCAACGACGTATACGACCTAGAAATTTAATTAGAAATAATTCAATGTAAGTCAGCTTAAAATATTTATTAATATAACAACTCAGGTACAGGGTCATCCCTTATGTCTTGATACACCCGTGAGTCTGGCATCGGTCCGGCAACTACACCCTTAGCGCACTCTGTCTTTTATTGGATGTTGATAGATATTTCGATAGTTTGATAGATATTCTCGAACTGCTTCTAACTAAAAAATACAAAAAGAAAACTAAGTATAAAAATATCTAATTCTTGCCTCTGTTTTGAAAAAAATGAATGAGCCGATTCTCAATCATTCGAGGTTGTGACTGTGCTAGGTGAAATAGTCACATTATATTATTACACTTTAACTTACCTTGAAACAACGAGCAACGAAGGCAACGACAAAAGAAAACAAGGCGGAAGCCAAATAACCTACGGCCACCATGACACCCACTCACACAACACAATCGAAAACTGGATCGGAGTAGGTGCGCACTCAGCGTATTGTTGTTTTTATTTTTTACGTTGATTAAAAGATGGAAATACACTGAGTGCGCACGTGCGCTCTAGCTCTGCCAATCGAAAACGCCATTAGAAACCGTCCGACTTCCGATTCCGACAAGACTGGAATGTGAACGAATAACTTAGCGGGAAATTTAAACATAGGACTGCATAATTTTCCTGTTAGGCTTGATTGCATAATATATTGCATTTTTAACCCATCAGATTTCTTCAAAAGCTGTCATGCATTATGGTCATTGGATAATTTAGGAAATCATTTTTTATAGCGGTCGGGTTAGATTTATTAATAAAAGAAGTAGAGGTAGGTTAGAGTGAATTGAATTAACGTTAGCCTAGAAAAGATCCACTGATCCAGTCCATTCATTATTATTGGGTATACCTGACAAAAATAATCCAGTCATTTCAAATTTTCAATATACGTACGTAGTACGTACTCGCATGTACGTCCGTAGTGAGTCCTACAATGTACGTAAATAGTACGTACATGGGGCACGTACTATGTACGTACACTTTTGTACGTACATAATACGTCCCTTATTGGTTCCGGGACGTACCGACGTAAAATAGACATAAAATGTACGTCCCTGGGACGAATAAGTGTGCTGTATGGGTTTGGTGTTATCACTGCAAAATAATACACTAATTCACTACAATACACCAAAACACTTTAGTTTTGCAGTGGACGTGCAGTTTGCTAACCATGTTAGCATCTTTAATTAACCAGTTTTAATCGTTTGCTGGTTACTAACATGATTAGCGAAACGCGCATCCAGTACAAAGGTAAAGTATTATGGTGTATTGTGGTAAATTAGTGTTTATTTTCTGACGAAGTTACGGATCGAGCTTTTTTACTTATTTTTATCTGAAAAATATGTTGTCAAAATTTTCCGATTACAGTTTGGATCACCCTGTATAATATCGTTGAAGAAATAACATTTTCCTTAAATTAACGATAATACCTCTGAGAATACAAGGATAATACTACCGTATGATCGAAAAAGCAACGGCGTCCAGTTGGCTTGGAAATGAACATCGATGACATTCCTATATAATTTTACATAAAAAAATGACAGCGATCTTCATTTCATAACTATCACTGACGCCGTTTTTTTTTTTGATAATATTGTATTTAACTGATCAGATTAATTCAGTAGCAATTCAGAGCAAACAAACTTTCTAAACTAATTAGTATTGGATTATTGTTTACATAAATAGGAAGAAAAAATATTTTTAATTATAAAAAAATAATTACAACTAATTAAATCGTTTGGGCTAATAAAGTTAATCCGTACTTAATGTACCAAAAATTAAATTGGTCGCGGTCTGTCCGATTTTTAGGTTAATATAACCGACGTAAAATTTTACTGTTTCTTATTTTGTCTCTAATTGCCGTTATTTCGAAAACTTTAATGTTTTTTGTTACGGTAAACATAACATCTACATATTTATTTTGTAAATATTTTAATGATAAAATATAGCTCATATCAAATAAACTTATAGTAACGTGATTAAGCTTGATCGGCTCAGCATTGTCCACTTTTACATTATTTCTTTTAATCAAAATATTTTAGGAAACAAAAATAGATTAATTATAAATATATAAACAGATATTATTTACATCAACAAAACTCACCTCCTTAACAGTACTTAAGGGACATAAAGGTCCATTACTACCGCTTTCCCGTTCAAAATATTTTAATAAAGTTGCAATGAGTTTGTTGCAACGGCTATTAAGCTATCTTGTACACTTCGCACTATACTAAAGTGTTAAAACGAATGGCAATGTCAAGAAATAAATAAATGTGGCAACTTGACATTTTTAACAGCAGAGCTACCACCAATCCCCAGCGGGAAATTTAAATTCCAGTTTGTCAGTCCGGCGCCAAATATGTCCATGGTTGGAAACAATGAATTTAAAAATCGCGCCCTCGATTACGTAACTAAGTAAAAGTTTAATTGGTATCCCTTATTTGTCCTAGCCCCTAGAGATACAGGGCGAATTTGAAAATGTTGCATTTTTCGACCCTCTTCGTATCTTAATAACTTATCGAAAAGATGAAAACGTGCCCCGTGTAAGTTCCGTAGAATATTTACATAGAAACCAGTGGCGTAAATAGTTTGTTCTTAGGAGCTGTCGTTCCCGAAATATGACTCAAACTTATATACAATATATATATATATATATATATATATATATATATATATATATATATATATATATATATATATATATATATATATATATATATATATATATATATATATATATATATATATATACAGGGTGTTCCATTAAGGGAGGTCACCGGCCATATCTCGGAAACTACTGGGTATAGGAAGTCAGGAAAAAAATTCTTAAGACTAAAATGACCATGAGAAAATCCTGAAATTATTTTTAAGTCCGCATTTTACCGCAAGAGGCGCAATTGGTAGGGTGAATAATACAATTCAAGTTTTCTCGAAAATTCTCATATTGAGCTATAACTTTAATAACATCGTTAGAAAGCCTGAAAAATTCCGCATAAATTCTCTCTGAGGCTCATTGGCGTACCGACCTTAATAAGGGTGGGGGAAGCTCTTGAACGTCTCAGTATTTAAAACTCTGTATCTTCTAAACGACTTATCCGATTTCAGCAAACTTAGGCTTGTTTGAAAGAGAAATGTACGTTTTCAAATACCCAATCCACTGCTACCAAATAGTTACAAATTAAATTGCTAGAGGGCGCAATTTCCAATAATAACAGTTTTTTTTTGATTTTGTCACGAAAATTTAAATCATACGGTATAATTTTGATGTCATATTCGGAAAGTAGATTAAATTTGCAACAAAAAACGTTTAGACCGCAATTCGATATCTTCATTCGTTTCAGAATTATTGCCGGAAGAATACTTTATAACGCTTTAATTTAAAAAAAAATGCTTGTTTTCATAGTTTCGTGGTAGGTAAAGCATTTCATGAAATTTTTTGTCTAATTTTATGGTTGTTGAGGTTTCTCACTCTGTTTAGTGGCACAGGACCACTTTATAATTAAAAACACCCATTAAAATCTTCTAATAAAGCCTGATTCTTATGCTGTCTTAAAAAGTATTATTTGATCTAGATAGCTGTGGAAAACAATTTGTGGGTTTCCATGGAGATTAATAAAGTGGAATAGGTAGCTGTCAACTGCTTTAGTTTTGACGTTGAGGAAAATTCGTCATTGATTCATTTAAAATTTCTTGTAATCTATTTTTCAAAGTGTGTTCTACATCCCTTAAAAATGTCTTACACTAATGCCGAGGCCTACGACATGCTTGCCGTGTACTTTCAGTGTTTCGAAAATGCTTGTATCGCAGCACGTGAATATGCTGCCAGATATCCCGAACGAAGGCACTATGGCAGAAGAGCTTTTCGACAACTAGCGATACGTTTAAGGCAGACAGGAAGTGTACGACCCATTTCAGTTCCTGTTAGAAGACGTCCGATAAGGAATGAAGACAATATCATAAACGTTCTTGCATACGTGGAAGCGAATCCGAATGTAAGCACAATGGAAATTTCCTTAGACCTAGGAATAAGTCGCACTACGGTATTCCGTATTTTAAAAGACTTTAAACTACATCCTTACCATGTGGTGTTACACCAGGCTCTATCAGAAGATGATTATGACAGGCGGCTCAACTATTGTCACTGGTTAAGCGAGATGTGCAATGAAAATCATCAATTCCTCTCCTTGGTTTTATGGACTGATGAAGCCAGTTTTAGTAGCTGTGGCAGGGTCAATTTGCACAATATGCATTATTGGTCACAAACTAATCCGCATTGGATGCGCGAAGTGGATCACCAAAATAGGTGGAGTGTAAACGTGTGGTGCGGTGTTTTAGAGCATAGAATTATCGGACCATTTATTTTTGATGATCATCTAAATGGTGAATCATATTTAAACTTTTTAAGAAATGACTTACCTATCCTTTTGGAAGATGTTCCCATTGACTTAAGATTATCCATGTGGTATCAACATGACGGCTGCCCTGCGCACTTTTCACAAAGGGTCCGTGACTTTTTAAATGTTAAGTACCCGAATCGCTGGATAGGTAGGGGTAGTTTGTTTCAGTGGCCACCAAGGTCCCCGGATTTAACTGTGTTAGATTTTTACTTGTGGGGCCGAATAAAAGACATTGTTTATAAAATACGACCAACCACACGGGACGACATGATTGGACGAATTACAAACGCTGTAAATTCGATTTCACGAGCTGAAATTGAAACAGCTGTTTACAAATCTAGGACAAATATTAATAGTTGTATGTTGCAAAATGGTGGTCATTTTGAACATTTATAATAGTCTTTCTATTGCTTCCTTAAAAACTTTAATACTGGTATTATTGTTGTTTTGTTGTGGCCCGTTGGCCTTTAAGCACGCTCCAAATTTTGCCTTTTACATGATTTGGACTAGTCCTAAGCCTAGGTAAAGTGCGAAGGGAGGCACGGAATATGACAAATGAAAACTAATTGTTATCAATTCAAAGTTTAACCTTACGAAACTATGAAAACAACCATTTCTTCAAATTAAAGCGTTATAAAGTATTCTTCCGGCAATAATTCTGAAACGAATGAAGATATCGAATTGCGGTCTAAACGTTTTTTGTTGCAAATTTAATCTACTTTACGAATATGACATCAAAATTATACCGTATGATTTAAATTTTCGTGACAAAATCAAAAAAACTGTTATTATTGGAAATTGCGCCCTCTAGCAATTTAATTTGTAACTATTGGGTAGTAGTGGATTGAGTATTTGAAAACGCTTACATTTCTTTTTCAAACAAACCTAAGTTTGCTGAAATCGGATAAGTCGTTTAGAAGATACAGAGTTTTAAATACTGAGACGTTCAAGAGCTTCCCCCACCCTTATTAAGGTCGGTACGCCAATGAGCCTCAGACAGAATTTATGCAGAATTTTTCAGGTTTTCTAATGCTGTTATTAAAGTTATAGCTCAATATGAGAATTTTCAAGAAAACTTGAATTTTGTTATTCACCCTACCAATTGCGCCTCTTGCAGTAAAATGCGGAACTTAAAAATAATTTCCAGGATTTTCTCATGGTCATTTTAGTCTTAAGAATTTTTTTCCTGACTTCCTATACCCAGTAGTTTCCGAGATATGGCCGGTGACCTCCCTTAATGGAACACCCTGTATATATATTTTTTTTTTTTTTAAATGGGACACCCTGAATATTTGAATGTTATTTTTTTAAATTTTATTTACCTTACTATGAGCTTTCTAAAAATATAATACCGTATGATCGAAAAAAAACGGCGTCCAGTTGGCTTGGAAATGACGATCGATGACATTTCCCATATAATTTTACATATAAAATGACAGCGATCTTCATTTCATAGCCATTGTTGACGCCGTTTTTATTCGATCATACGGTATAATTAGAATATATTAGATTTTTAAAAACTAAAATGAAAATAACTATAGATAGTTATTTTCATAAACAAGGTAAAAAATGCGTTTCTAATTTTTTAATATAAATAAACCTAATTTAAAAGGGCATTTTCATTTTATTTAATTTAATTTCACCAGGTAATTTTGCTTTCCATCGTTATATCTTAATAAACTGCACTGAAAATAAGTTTGAGCAGCTTTTCGATAACACGCTGTCAATCAGAGTTATTAATCTGATATTTTTAACACACTTTTGCAGTAATTCTACACATAGAAACTAGCGTGAAATACCCAAAATTTGACTCGCATAATTTATTCGACTGTTTTTTTATTACCTATTTTAAACCGGCTGCCTATGTTAAAATAAACTATTCAAAACAATTATCGCATATTTTCTAAAAAAAATATTAATTTGAAAAACAAGACACTTTGAATTCCCTGACTTATATACTGATAATATGGAGGGAAATTCGATACGATAAGCCTGCGCGCTAATCTGTAATTTTTAGTCGGCCGACTATTTAGTTGGAAAAGTGAAAACAATAAATATTTATGAAATCGATCGGCCGACTATTTGATTGCATGTGAGCGCGGCTCCATAAGGATATATTGGCTACAAATATGCAACTAAATAGTCGACCGATTAAAAATTGTCTGTTAGGGCATAGCCTAAAGCTACGCAATGTAATGAAATATTGGGTCGATCGGCTCCATAACAATGTATTGTTTTCACTTTTGCAACTAAATAGTCGGCCGACTAACAATTATATGTCAATGCGTACTCTAATTATCCTAAAAAAACTCACAAGAGAAAGGCAGAAAAATGCATGCTCGATTTAGAAATATGTAATAATTATTAAATAATGGATTTTTTAACTTATTTGTGAAAATAAGTATAAAGTATGTTCTATTTTTAAAAAGCTAATAAAAAGGCAAAAATAAAAATATAATATACAGGGTGTACCATTTAAAAAACATAAGTCATATTTCAAGAATGAGATCTCAAAGGAAATATCTAGTTACGCTACTGAAGTCTACGTGAAAAAATCTATGAGACTCAATTTTCACCTTTTTGATAAGTTATAAGATATAAAAAGGGTAGAAAAATGCAGCATTTTCAATTAAAGTAGCACAGTGATGTGAAAACAGCATCTTTGTAGCTCTTCTCATAAACGAGTAACCCGGCAAAACGCACGAAAATGGGACACCCTGTACGTGAAGGGCTTGCTTTAGAGTGTTGCAAATAAATAAAATGTCAAATAAATAAACTACAGTTTATTTATTTGGTATCCTATTTATCTCTTGAAAATTAATGATTATACTTTAAAGTTCGAAATATAATTTAGTTACAAATTGTATCATTTTTTGATACACTCTAAACCAGTATATAATGATGAATTTTCCCAAGACATAAACCGAAAGAAAAATCTAGTTTTATAGGTATAAAGGCAGAATATAGCCGAGAGATAATTTCTAGTATGTGAAACGGCTTCATAAATTTTCATGTAATGAGCGTTTGAAGTACCCGGGTACATTTTAGAAAATGTACGATATTAGTTGGGTAAAAGCAATTTTAATGGATATAAAAGCCAGCATTATGAAAAATACTCGTATACGATAGGTTTCGTTAAAGAGAGGACTTGTAGGGACATCCTATAACGAAACGTATAGAGCTTTTTCAATTAAAATAATTTAATTCTTTCTTTATTACAAGTTATATTACAGTAAACCACAAATAATCAATAAATGATTGATGAATGACAAATAATCAATAAATGGTGATTTAAAAATCAAATTGAAGAAAGAATAGAATGTTTTTTGTCGAGAAAAAAATAAATTGACGAGCAGAAATAAGTACAGATATTTTAACTGGTAGTATATTTTGAACCCAGAAACACGCCTATGAGGTATTTATGCGAAATTTTTTTTTGGAAATTTGGAATTCTTTGAAAAAGCGTTTTGAAATTTTTTTAATAATGTTTTTAGTTAAAAAACATTATTTCTTGATAATATGGCAATATAGGTAGTAGATTAAATTTACAAGAAAGAAAACCCAGAACAGATCCAGTGGTTCTCAAAATTTAAGCAAATAATCATTTTTTTGAAATTTTCAAAGTAAAATAATTCAGTTATTTTGGACTTATGTAATTTGTTAAATTGTCAAGAACAAATATATGTTTCTTTTCTTGAGATCTACCACCCCTTAAAATATCTTTACTTATTTCTGAGACACCCTGTATAATTTATTTTTACACAGATTACTACAAAACAAATTAAATAATATTTGTTAAGAAATTGGCGGTTTATACAGGGTGTCCCAGAAATAAGTGCAAGTATTTTAACTGGTAGTATAGCTCAACCCCAGAAACACGCCTATGAGTTTTTTTTCGCGAAAAAAAAAATTGAAAATTCGAAATTTTTTGAAAAATTTTTTGAAATTTTTTTAGTTTTTAGTTAAAAAACATAATTTCTTGATAATATGGCAACATGGGTATTATTAGATTAAATTTACAAGAAAGAAATTCCAGAAAAGGATCAGTGCACGATATACTTGTTTATGTGTATCGTGGATCAGTGGTTCTCAAAATTTTAACAAAAAATTATTTTTTTTTTAAAGTTTCAAAGTAAAATAACTCCGTTATTTTCGAGGTTATTTTGGACTTATTTGAAAAACGATAAAGAGAAAATATGTTTCTTTTATCGAGATCTGCCATCCCTTAAAATACTTGTACTTATTTATGGGACACCCTGTACATTATAACACTTTTTCCCAATTTAATGATCGAGAAAATTCAATTAAATCTGCTGAACCCTGTATATTTTCCTATTTTTTTAACTAATTAATGTAATAAAAGCATCCTGCTTCATACAGTGAAGTTATATTTCCTTTCATGTGTGGTCGCTACCACTTTTTATATTTTTATCGTACGTCGGGATTATTTTATATATACTCGTAACTATCCTATACGTAATACGTACTGGGTGGTAAATATACTATATTAAGGAATAATCTCTCCAAACTGAAAAGCTTCCTTAGTAACATTTTTATCATGTAAAATTGGTCATCACTCATGCCGCAAAAATTAATACGTTTGTACATTTGAAAAAAGATATTTGTTGAGATTTGATAAGTAATTTCAAAAAATAAATTAGTAAAACACAAAAGTTTCATAAAATTAACATAGTGCATATAATGTACAATAAATTAGAGTATAATAATAGGTAATTACCGTAGTTTGAAATGCAAAAAAATAAAATACCTAATCATATTATTGTTGGATATTAGGTATTAAAAATATTATAGTTTATTTACCGTTGGTCGATAGTACCATTATTTATTATTACATTTTCAACTAATTTCTAGGTTTGCTTGAATGTGACCCTAACCTAGATGATCCCACAAGCGTATAGAAAAAATCACGTATATTTACGATTTTTTAACGTTTCATTAAAAACGTATCTTACGATATAACAATAATGAGGTGAAATTTTTATTAACAAACTTTCGTATCTAGGCAAAGTACTTTTAAAGTTAGGTATTTTAATTTATGCCTACATCCCGTTTATAAAAAATAATGTTGCAATTTAGATGCTAAACACTAAAATTAAAAATTTTATTTTCCTCTGATTGGTTTCACTTTTATTTTTTTTTGTGTGTTTTCGTAGTTTTCATCAAACTTGTTAAATAACTCATATAGAGTATGTCCCCGGATTGTCTTTACAAAAGAAAACGTTTTTTTTTGTTATTATGATTATATTGTTAGTTCCCAATAGTTAATATGCAGAAAAAAAATCGTCTTTATTGTCGCTTCTTCAGGCACCAAAACATATATTATGTAGGCATAATGTGGATTAATATATGTTTTGGTGCCTGAAGAAGCGACAATAAAGTCGCGGAACGTCGCAAAAACATTGTTTTCTTTCAAGCCTTCCCAAACACCCGCGATTTTTTTTCTGCTTTATTGTTATTGGCATTTTCAGAAAATGTATTCTTTATCAAAATTTTTGCTTGTTCTAAAATGTTTTTTTCCCATAAGAAGGGGCCGTCCTCTGCAGGAAACACTGCGACCTGTGAGGCCTATTGTGTTTGTCCCCTTTCTTTATCTGCGCCCATTCTTCAATCCTTGTGCCCTGCACTAGCTTATGCAGGTTCTTGATAGGATGGGAGCATAGTTCTTCCAGTTCTAGGCTAGCTTTCCCAAATAAAAAGTGTCGCTTGCGATCCAGCGCCTCGCAATGACATATGTGCTCCGCTGTTTCAGGATCTTTATCGCAGAGTCTGCAGCAAAGACTTCCTTGATACACATTAAGCTTGTTCGGGTAACACTTGACAGCCATGTGTCCTGCCAAGAGGCCTGTTGTAATCCGCACTTTATTCCGGCTAAGTATTAGCAGTTCTTTTGCGGTTTTAGAGCTAGGTCCATGGATAAAAGCCTTGCTGTGCCTGTGCCCCTGTCTGTTTCTCCAATGGACATTCTACTTTTCCCTGATCCAGAGTTTTATTGCACTATGGGCTATACATTTTGGTATTCCCAGTACTGGCTCTGGATCAAGAGAGGATGCCGATGATTCTTGCCTAGCTAACTCATCGGGTTTTTCGTTGCCTTGGATGCCGCTGTGGCCCGGCGCGGCACCCAGAATAATTTAATTCTGTTCCTTCGTGCCAGAGCTCCCAGTTCACCCACACATTCTAAAATGGTTAATCCCGTTTATACTTTTCCAAAATGTTCATATTATTTTGGAGATTAGGTATACTGGCGGTGTAATAAAATATAATACTTACCTTTTCTACCGATTTTTTTATGTTTTGAATAGTCGTCTTAGATAAAAGTAACAGTTAAAAATTGCAAGAATGTGAATTAGCAGTATTCTACTTGGCCCAGCTCGTCTGCATAAAACGCGTAATCCAATATCACCCATGCTAATCTTATGGTGCGGTATACGATTATTTTTTTGACATTTTTTGACATTAAGCGTTACTGAGATGGATGGTTCCTTTTCCAACGCTCTATCGTACTTCTAAATAAATAATAGAGAATGCCTCTCCCCTTAGGATCACTGTACCGTTCACGTTTTAACCATTCACAGTTTGTTTTGAAACGGTTAATTGGTAACAGCCGTGAGAGAGAACGTGGTTCTTTTATTTAATCGTGAGAATATCAGTTTAAATACTGAAAGTATGCAGATAAAAGTTTCATTTCTGATGTTCTTCATTTTTGATATTTTTTAATTCGTTTTTTTTTATTTTCAGGCCATGGAGGTGTTAATCAACTTGGAGGAGTGTTCGTGAACGGTCGACCACTTCCGGATGTAGTTCGGCAACGAATAGTCGAACTTGCCCACAATGGAGTCCGACCCTGTGATATTTCGAGGCAACTGAGGGTATCCCATGGATGCGTATCGAAAATACTATCTAGGTAATAAGATAAAAGTTTTTTGACACAAGCAGTATTATTTTAAGACGAAATCATTATATAAGAAATAAAAATTACCCACACCTATTACTTACACCCTGTATATAAATTTTTTAATATTAGAGTTTATTTTTTTTTCTTTTTCTTAAACCTTTAGAAATTTATATATATATATATATATATTTTTTTCTCCTTTCTTGGGTATGAGGTTTTGGTTTGGAAATTGAAATGGAAACTTTTTTTTTATTATGCGGCGTTTCGCCTCATCATGGTGGGCTTTCTCAGGCACTTTATTCTTGAAGCCGCAGCCGCCTTGCTACCACCAGTGGATATAGAAGAATGTAAGTGAATTCATTCATTAATTCATTCATTCATTCATTCACTTACATTCTTCTATATAGACTGGTGGTAGCAAGGCGGCTGCGGCTTTAAGAATAAAGTGCCTGAGAAAGCCCACCATGATGAGGCGAAACGCCGCATAATAAAAAAAAAAAAGTTGTCATTTCAATTTCCAAACCAAAACCTCATACCCAAGAAAGGAGAAAAAAATATATATATATTTTTTAATATTAATATACAGGGTTGTTCACCACATACGACACGGAGTATTGTAGCTAAACGATTAGATTTTTACAAATTGTAAGTTTTGGGTTTGTTGGAGAACTATTAGAGCTATAATTAAAAAATATTTTTGCAAGATACAGAGTGTCCCAAATAAATAAAAATATCAATGTTGTATTTTTTTAAATGGAACACCCTGTATATTATTACATTTTTAGTTTCTACGATTAAAATAAAGGTAAATTTGATTAAGGTTTATCACACTTAAACCTTGCCGTTTTTGAAATATTTTCAATTTTGTGAAACTGGAGTAAAAATTTTAAGGTTTCATTTCTCCAAGAGTATGAAAGTTTTTAACACTACACATTTACTAAAATTTATTTATTGATCAGTTATTGTGTTGCAATTATAAAAATAATACTGCCTCATACAGAGTGTCTAAAAATGTATTTTAAATAATTTCTAGTTTTAAACGGCAACAACTTGTTTAATTTAAATGGAACTTCTTGTACATTTTAGGAGAATCAGATGCACAATTTAGTTGTCTATCAAATTGTATTACACCATTTTTTCCTATCCCTTCAAGTTTTCGTAGAAAATGCATTTTCTTATAATTTAGGCCTCATTTATCCATATACCCATGGAATATTGACATTTTAGATTGTTTTTAAAGCAACAAATGTATAAAATGTACAGGTGCTAAAAACGATAATATTACTAGCCCATTTGTATACAAAAAGAAATCTATTTAGATCTTTATAAAAGACTATACCGTTAATTAAATATACCACCATTATTTCCAGCCAAATATTAATTAATTGCATACTTAATTGTGTTAGTTAATAAATTACTTTAAATAAATGTGGATTTGAATCAGAAATCAATATAAAAATAATTTTGTGTAGTTTTGTTGTTATAAATAAGCATTCGTCAAAAAATTAAATAAAATTTTTAAGGTGTTATTTTTTACCACATTGTCTAATACAGATGCAAAATTCAGTTTTTTAGTATTTGGAGCAATTATTATTAATCAACGCAGTCAATTAATGTAGTTTGAACACTGCAATCATATTAATTGGTCCTCTCTAACAAATATTTAAACAGTTTTTTTTAATGAAATAAACGAACTATATCGACAATATTAGAATCTGTACTCTTTAAACGTTTGTTACATCTTTAAAAATAAAATGTCCATATTCCATGGGTATATTGATAAATGAGGTCTAAATTATAAGAAAATTCATTTTCTACGAATATTGGAAGAGATAGCTTAAAAACAGTATAATACAATTTGGTAGACAATTAAATTGTGCATCTGATTGTTATAAAATATACAGGATGTTTCATTTAAATTAAACAAGTTATTGCTGTTTAAAGCTAGTAATTATTTAAAATAAATTTTTAGACACTCTGTATAAGGTACTATAATTTTTATTATTGCAGCACAAAATTTAGTAAATAGAAATACCGTATGATCGAGAAAAAACGGCGTCAGCGATGGCTATGGAATGAAGATCGCTGTCATTTTATATGTAAATTTATATGGGAAATGTCATCGATGTTCATTTCCCAGCCAACTGGACGCCGTTTTTTTTCGATCATACGGTACTTCAGTACAATATTTAGTTTTAAAAACTTAAATACGTCTAGAGAAATGAAGCATTAAAATTATTAGGTACTGTATTTTGACAAAACCCTAAATATTTAAAAAAACGGTAAGATTAAAATGCGGCAAACCTTAATAAAATTTACCTTTATTTTAATCGTAGAAACTAAAAATGTAATAATATACAGGGTACTCAATTTAAAAAAATACAACTTTGATACTTTTTATTTATTTGGGACACTCTGTATCTTGTAAAAATATTTTTGTAGCTCTAATAGTCCTTTAACGAACCCAAAACTTACAATTTGCAAAAATCTAATCCTTTAGCTACAATCCTCCGTGCCGTATGTAGTGAACAACCCTGTATTAAAATATTACTAATTTTCAAAATATCCACTTAAGGTAAAGGTGTAACAATTATTTTCATAAAAATAGACACTTTCGTCAAAATTTCTCTACAGAAAATGTATTAATAACTTTATAATGTGTAACAGTTAAAGAACTCTAGCCAAAAATACCACTGAATAGCTCTATTATTCCTCAAAGAGTACCTACATGTGTGAGATCCGACACAGACGTTACTCGGTAGATTTGCCGCCCTTTGATCTTAGGATTCTTAAGTTTCTTTCGCGGCACATGTGGGAAATATTGCGGAACTTACCTTGTACGGCTATTAAAAAGTTAATATTTTAAAACTATGTATTATAACAAGCCTCATAAACATCCATATGTTGGAAGGAAGAAATAGTTATGTAGTATTTTCTTTAATTTGCTTTATCTCTATAATTAGTTTTAATGCACTTGTATTATTTATATATTAGTGTGTTTCAAAATATTTTTTTTTCTTATGGTGTTGAAAACTTGAAAGTATCTACACTTAAAAACAAACATTTTGGCGCCTAGTAGAACCCCTAATATTAACATTAAGGTTTGCCTCAATTTATTTGGTGTTTTTCCATTTAAATAACACGGAAATTTATTTTTATTTTTGAATTTTAATAATTTCGGAATGGTTTGCTTCCGCAACATCCTTGCGAGAAGATTTATAGGAAATTTCAGGCTCTATAAAAAACGTCTGAAGATCAAAGTTCCTCAGATCAACCATCTCAAAGATATCAACAATCAAAAATAACACCCATTGAAAATTTCAAATATTTTCCAATAAAAGTACAAAAAAAATATCTGTAAAATCACATCAATTCTGTTAACCTATGACTGTAATCAATTTTTTTGTTAATTTTTTTGTTAATATGGGGGTGGTTTGTTAATAACAGGGTGGTCCGAATTATATTCCGGAAACTTCGGCCAGAAACTTCGACTTTTTACTAATCAAATCTCAACATCTGCGCGCACTATACAGGGTGGTCCGAACTTTATCCGGAAACTTCGGCAGCATATTCTGCAGATAAAATAAGTAAAAAAGTTCGTATAAATGTATGTACTAAAATGCTTAGTTTCCGAGATACAGGTTGTAGAAGTTTCATTTTTATTTCGATTTTTTCTAAACAATTTCTGAAGTAACGTCAATATTTAGATGAAAATTGGTGCCTGCGAATTTTTCGACATGAGAAATTTGATTTGGTTTGCCTGTCTCTGCCTTGGTGAATTTCTCCACAATTCTAGAGATTTATTGGCCACGCACTCTTTTGTCACCATTCTTTAATGTCTGGGCTAATAAAAGATATTGATAAGCCTTGTTTCGCCATTTAATCTACTTTTTCGTTACTCTTTGTGGCCTTCGCACTCCTTATCTAACCCTTAAACAAACGCTTTTCAAATTATCTTCACCTTTATGTCGTAATAATCGTAGATTTTGATAAAAATCGATGTGGCCTTAAAGCGGTCTATAAATATAACTTAATAAATGTAACAAGAAACCACAATACAACACTTAATAGACACACTCTCTACCATTACTTAACGAACATAATTCCCTCATACCGTATTTGCGACCAACTCTAGGCCGCAAATTAATAAATTTAGAGGGAGTTGCGTTCACCCTTAATGACGAAAATATGAATTCGTTACGGTGTGGCATCACTCGTTCGTTCCCGCTCTAACTGAATCAAATGTTTTCGACTTAACTCGATTATTGTTGTGTATTAGCCGAAATGAAATCATAAAGGGCTTTGTAACGCCCCTCCCCGGGGAGAAATATGGAGTGGATCCCGGCGGATTGGCCTGGAGAAGGCGTGTTTAGATGCAGACCCGTATCCAGAAATATTATTTTATTCTCTAATTGCTTTTGTTGATATTAGTGAAAAAAACAGAATGGGTAAAATCAATCAAGAAGTGAATATGAAATTGCTTCAAAATAGCTAAAGGTTTAATTTAACCAAAAAGGTATAGTTATAATTATAATATATCGTTTTTAGAACGTCTTGTAACGTTTTTCGATCCCTAACTGCCACGTCGTTCAATTATTGCATTGTCCCTCAGTTAGATTTCTGGCTTTCATTACTAGTCGTATCAATACCGTACCATACAAATTTTTCGAACCATACAATTTTTTTTCTTTAAGATCCCCTATATACAGGGTGAGATAAACTTAAGATAAACCTATATACAGGGTGAGTCTTAAATAGATGCAAATATTTTGAGGACTGGTAGATCTCGTTTTTCACATGAGTCTAGTCCGAGTAATTTTACTTTGAAATTTCCAAAAAAAAAACAATTTTTGCTTAAATTTCGTGAACCACTGGATCTATTCTGGGTTTCCTTTCTTGTAATTTTAATCTTCTACCTATGTTGCCAAATTATCAAGACATTATATTTTTAACTAAAAACTAATAAAAGTTCCAAACCATTTTTCAAAAAAAAAAAATTAGCGGAAAAA